AATTAACAGGAATTTATGTGGCAATGTCTCATTCTAATGTCCCATTTTCATTAATCTCATTTGAAAAAAAAAGCAGGCTACACCACGTAATGCTATATCATTCTCCAGTATACAGAGTTGGGGTCATTACACAGAAGTGAGCTGTAAAAAACATAACAATCTGATTATAATCACTTGCTTATGACCTTATGATGCCATCCCTGAGGGGCAACATCTGTCTCTCCTTTCCAAGCAGACCCAATCGCTTATTTACTCCTTCAATTTCTCCTTCCACAAAACATTAAAGGTGTGCTTTTTGTGCAGGACAAAGAGGAGACAGTGTGACCACAGAGGGATCAGTGGGTTATATTAAAGAGAAAGGTGTTTATGCAGCATACGTAAAAGTAAGAATTTCAGAATGAATGAGTCTCCATTCCTCCTGTGGCCACAACAGAATTCTCACAGCTCAGAAAAAGTGTGTAGTGGGAGAGAGCAGTGGTAGTACCCCACCTTTTCCTATTCAGAGTATTATAAATATAATGTAAATAGGCTCATATTTCTAGCTGGTTTGAGAATTTCAAAGCCTCTAGCCACCACAAGGTGGTATACGCATCCTGTAAAAGAGAAACCACCGTTGCTACATGGTGAAAGGCAAATTCTAGCACTGAAAGTTGTCCTTTGACAGGACACATACAGGCCCTTCCTGCACCTTCGCTCATCCATAAAAGCAAGTATTTCTTGTCTCAGCCACTTCAGCATTTTTTTTGGAATAGAGAAGTAGTAGGTTAGTTTTGTTCTGTAGAAAGCAGAGGATACGGCTCTTGTATTCTAGGAGAAATAAAGACTATGCTGTCTTTTCAGCCAGTAATCTAGGAATCCAGGACTTAGCAGTCAACTCATTTAGAAAAGTTGAAGCATAGTTATACAACTGATGAGTTTTAGATACATTGCCTGATATGTGTGTGTGTGTCTGTGTGTGATACATTCTTCTCTCTGGTTAAATCAGTAAGTGACATGTCATTTCAACTTTCATTATAGAATTTTTTTTTTTTAAGTTGTACAGACATACAGGCAGAGTCTACATTGCCGTAAGTAGCACAGGTCAATGAAGAAGCTAGAGTTTCCCTTGACCTAACCTGTTAAACCACATTGCCAGACATAGCTTTAGCACAGTGTACCAACCTTGGTTCAACAGCCATTCTTATTCAAGCTACCCAAAATGTTCATCTAATCTTGAAGAATGTGATTTTAGGTCCTTTGAGAGAGACTCAGCAGCTAACTTGTCTGTTCAGTATAAACCACGTGATGGCACTAGAAGACCAGATGGAATACATAGTTCTAAATTGAGCTTCACACACAGGTAGGTACATGCTTTGGTTATTTTCAGAAGCTAAGCTTTTTCCAGCTTGTCTTAGCATGGTCTTTCTTTCCACATAAGATGGTCAGGAGTTTGGGCTGAACCCTGAATTCAAAATATAGTGATAATTAGTCTTGTCTTTCATCTCCAGAGATCCCTGATATTCACCAAAGTCAAAGTCTTCACATAAAGCTGCTCAGAACTATCAGGGCATGCCAAAGCATGTTTTCTCACAAGCTGAATTAGATATGCCTAGGCCTAGTACCAAGAATGTCCTTAGAAATTTAGATTCCCATGGCAGTGGGCACAGAGACAGGTTTAGAAAAGGTTTCCTTTTGGAAGGTGAACTTTTGATGTTCCTGAGCAGCACAGCCATATGGTGATACAGAAACACAGAAATTAAATGGTTTGGGTTAAGATTCTGTCTGTATCAATTAATAATCTGAATGGCACTCCCCAAGATTTGGCACAGACCTAAGCAGAAACATCACACGTATTAGTAACATAATTTCATTGTATTTTTCAAGTTTTTCAGTGGCTAAGTGCCTCTCTTCATTCTAATTCACTTGAGTCTCCAGTGCAAAAAATGCTTGGACCAGTTGGCTGCTGTTCATGTAGCTATCTACCAAAACAGCTAAACCTGAAAAAAATGTAGACACAAAACCAATTTAAAATTCTATTTCCTTCTGTTTAGAAAGATCATACCCAATTTTTTTTCCAGACAACTACCTATAAAGTCAAAAGCTATTTTAATGTAATTATATTTAGTCAAAATATGAGTTTCATTTGCTGGAAGTACAGGCAACAACACAATAACAGAGAAACTAATTCACAGTGGAAAATACATGGCAAGTGTTATTTTCTCTGCTTATTATACAATTAGTATTCTAAATCCTGTGTACATCATTGAATATGCAAACTGATATCTTCTACTTGACATCAGATTCTTACAAACAGCACTAATTCTTACAAAAGCTACTCATTGGTTCAAGAAGTTTTATACAATGGTCTGTGATTTTATTTACCTTGAAAAAAAAGTCTGCTTTTATAACCAAAAGTTAAAAAAAAAAAAAAAAGAGGAAAGAAAGAAAGAAATGCATTAAGCAATTGTAGAAGGAAACCAACCCAACTGGGGCACCACGACTAAAGCAAGCCCTGTAATAGTATAATGACCTTTAATGAGTGTCTGGGGAAACAATACAGTCCCAGCATAAAAGACAAAGGGCAAAACCCATCATGGCTCCACTGACACTAATTCAAAATGATTTTCAGAACAACTAAAGAATGTAAGAGAGGTAATCTGATCCACCAATCTGACCTCACTTTGATTCTGGGGCCCTGCTGCTGCCATTTCTAATTGTCAAACACTCTACATTTCACATCTGCTCATATTTAATGAAAAGCTGACTCTCATTGCCATTCTTTGAGTTAACTAGCTCTGTCAAGATGGGCATCATACGACCCCTGTGCACTGCAAAGAAAACACACTGATTTCTATTGAAGCCCTGCTAGTGAAACGTTGCATGTGTATATATATGTATTTTAATTGGAAAAGAAAGGCTTATGCTATTTTGCAAAGAGTGTTAATTGGTATTGATTTTTGTACTTATTATTAACAGTCAAATGTGACTAGTCTCACAAGGGGAGAGTGGGATCTCCTTTGACTTGATGGAGCGATGAAGGAGGGAAAAGGCCCTTTAAAGATAGGATGCTAAAAATTCCCAAGCTGTCAATATATATTCAAAATATAACTTATGATCGAACGTGTTTCCCAAAAATATTGGGGTTTGGTGGAAATAATACCATTATTGTGGAGGTTTTGGGCTCAGCAGGCAACACAATCAAAAATGTTTACTTTATCTGCCTCTGTAGAGCCTTAAGTGAACTTGAAAGCTATGGTAAACCTACAAATCACGTTTTTTCTTTCCTTGTCAAACAGTGCTAGTGGCAGAAATTTTACCCATTTGTAGGGGACATATTCATTTAGCCTGGTGTGGTTGCTGTTAACACCAGTGCCGGGACCCAACCATATACTCTCTGTACTAGTCTGTATTAATGCAAACTACACCAGGCGCTGTGTTACTGAGGCTGATAGGCTCTGTAAGTAACACTGCCTGTAGTAATTCTCAATCCAGGAAAGTTTCTTGTTCATTTTTCTTAACAAAACATGTTTTGCTATGTTTTACTCTGATAAAGGTCTCTTAAAAGGATAAAAACTCCTGTAACTTAGAATAGGACTTAAAACTGGGAACCATCTCCCCTGAGGTGATGCATGAGTTGCAACCAAGTAGATAAAAAGGACATTCAGAGTGCTTATAAACATACACAGAGAGAAGATTTCTGGTAAAATCTCTAAGAAATCCTATTAGAATCAGTCTAATTGATGCAGTCTTCAGACAAAAAATGCTAACAAAAATCATAGTATTCTTATATACTCCACATTTGTGTCTGGGAAAATAGTTCAAATGTCAAAATAGTTAAAGCAAAGGCATTCACCACTTGGGACTTTATACTGCAATAATCATATGGTATTAAAAGGTAACCTGATGCATAATCTACTAACTACATTATACTCTTAGTAGTGGAAAGCATTTTTATTTGTGATGATTTGTAATGTAAAGTGGACTTGCCTCCTGATCAAAACCCCTAATACTCCTCATAGATGTGTCTGAATAATTTTATAGTTTTTCTTTGCCATTTGGGTAGGGAATGGAAATCAGTTCCTGTCCCAAGATATAGTTTTGAATGTTATGAATGTCTAAATAGGATAATAAAATGACAGCCCCCTCCCCCCCCCAAAAAAAAAAAAAAATCACCATTTTATTTAACATTCTTCCTCAATTGTTGACATCACACTGATAAAGCAAGCTTTGGAATCCCTACCATTTGCCCAAAGAATTAATGGCTATGCAGAATTGTTCTAACTTCTCTGTGTTCTCCCTCTCAATTCCAATCTTTCAAAAGAGCTTTTGGGGCATATTCCAGAATGGTACTGTCCTATGGGACAGAGTCTACAGTTAATTTCAAAAAGTCTGCATTGGGCTAGGCCTCCTAAAAAGGCACTACAAAAAATACAACCATTTTTACTAATATTTCTGATGTTTCAGTATTAGACGGAAGGTCCTGCCTTATTGAGAATGAAGAGATACATACAAAACTAAAGATAATGGTACCAATATAGAATACAATATAGAATACCAGCTACTACGGTTAGCCACTAAGTTGTATCTTGTATATTTATCCACCGCCTATTGTATGCTGCTCTAGCATCAGCACTATTAAAGCTGTCCACTTAGCACCAGTCATAGATTTATAGACAGACCTGTTCCTCCACTGAAGCACTTACTGTTTAATTAATGATAATTTATATTGTGTGAGTTAAATAAAAAAGATGTCACCAAACTGCACTACTAAGGTCCTGCATGCTATTGCAAGAGCATGCTTCATAAAGAGCACACAAAGCAAAACAATGAATTACATTTTTTGTATTAAAAATAAATTAAAACAGAAATATAAATACAGAGATGTATTAAAATTTGGGTTTGACTTTTTAAAAAAGCATCAGCCCAGTAAAACTCACAGAACTACAATGTACGACACAAGACGGGGATGATACCACAGACACAACAGACATGGAACAGCATGTGTTGGTGTTAAAACTTACAGGCACGTAAACTGGTGGAGCAATCATTAACAGAGACAGAAGAAAGTGGGAAGGCTCTCTCAAGGGTGTCCATGTTACTATGTACACTGCCTGACATGCAAGAGCAGTCACGCTCAGAGCGTCCGCAATCAAAACAACATGCCAGTTTCATTCTCTTGTAGATGGACATCTTGGCTATAACCATGTGTTGGATGGGAGGAGAGGAAGAGCAGCAGGTTAATGGCAAGGTTATATATATAACAAGGCAGCTGGAAGGTAATTTAAGGGATTTAATACAGGCCTTAGTTTACGTTAACAGTCTTGACCCAGGAAAAAAAAATGCAATGAGATTATTGATAACACTTTGGCTGTACATTAAAAGCAGGGCAAAAGATAAATTGCTCTTTATTTCTGTTCAGTCTTATAGGGTGACCGCAGACATGGGGAAGAATTACTACTTACAGTCAAGTGTTTGGATCAAAAAAGAACATAGTAAAAGCAGAGAATCCTAAGAATATATTTTTCCCTTGGCACAATTAATACTATTGAGCTAAAATGAAAAGAAACATCTGAAGTTGCTAATCCATTAGATATTTTTGGCCTATCCTGCTTCCTGTAAAAATCAATGACTTTTT